TTACAAAGGATATTTTCCAGTTGCGGAGTAATCTGCTCTTTCGATCCGTAATGCCGACTGGTACTTCTCGTAGGATAAATCCTCTTGGAGTGGGAGAGGTTCGTGGGCCAATACATCATAGGGGTCTGGGTTGTACTTGCGTAGCCTGGACACATGAAATACATTGTGGACCTTAAAAAACTCTGGAGGCAGTGCTAGTCTATAGGTGGCAGTATCAATTCTGTCTAAGACTTTAAATAGTCCAATAAATCGGGAGTTCAATTTTTTCCTCCTGTCGAACCTACTAATTCCCTTGAAAGGAATGACCTTAAGGAACACCCGATCGCCTTTCTCAAATGTTAAATCTCTCTTCCGGGTGTCCGCATAACTCTTCTGTCTACTCTGAGCCGTCTGAATGTTCTTACTGATCTTAACTATCTTGGATGTAGTCTCCTCTACCAGCTTCAGACCGAATAATTTTCTATCGCCCATTTCTTTCTAATAAATCAGCGATCTGCATGAGCGCCCATATAACGCCTCATACGGAGGCATGCCAATGCTCGCTTGGTAGCTGTTGTTGTAAGCAAACTCTATCAGGGGTAGATGGTCGTCCCAATGGCCCCCAGAGTCAAGGATACAAGCTCAGAGTATATCCTCAAGTGTACGAATTATCCTTTCTGACTATCCATCAGTTTGAGGATGGAAGGCAGTACTGAGGGATAGTTTCGTTCTCATGGCTTGCTGAAAGCTACTAAAAAATCGAGAAGTGAACCTGGGGTCCTTGTCGGACACCACTGTCATTGAGACTCCATGCAATCTGACTATTTTTCGGATATACATTCTTGCCAACTTGTCTAAGGGATTGGTCATCCTGATGGCTAAAAAGTGAGAAGACTTAGTAAGCCGGTCAACAACTACCCAGATGACATCATGTTCTGAGCGTGCCTTAGGTAACCCTATCATGAAGTCCTTGGTGATATGTTCGCACTTCAACTCTAGGATCGATAAAGGCTTAAGTAACCCGTCTGGGCGCTGATGCTCTGCCTTGACCTACTGACATACCAAGTATTTAGACACAAAGTCAACTATGTCTTTTTTCATCCCATTCCACCAAAATCGGGGTCGCATGCTTTGGTACATTTTAGTGCTTTCGGGATTCATGACAAACTTTGAGTTGTGGGCCTTTGTCATGATGTCTCTCTTTAACTCACTGTCACCTAGAACACACACGATGTCCTGAAATCGTAGTAACCCATCGGCAGAGACCAGAATTCTGAGCTAACTCCCTGTTATGCATCATTCTTGAGGGCTACTAGGGCGGGATCAGCTGACTGAGTTTTTCTTATTCTCTGGATTAACTCAGGCTGGACGGTCAGATGACCCAAACATGTGACTCTCCTCAAGTTCTGAAGTCGAACCTGTTGTGTGGCCCCAATTTGCATGCATTCTGAGACCATCAAATGGGCTAAGATACCTGCATGTTTTCTACTGAGTGCATCGGCTACCACATTGCCCTTACCCGATGGTACAAGATGTCACAATCATAGTTCTTAAAAAGTTCTATCCACATTCTCTGACGCATGTTGAGATACTTTTGAGTGAATATATGTTTCAAACTCTTGTAATCGGTATAGATCTGAAAGGTCTCTCCATATAAATAATGGCGCCAAGTCTTCAAGACGTGTATGATTGCGGCAAGCTTTAAGTCATGAGTGAGATAATTTTTCTCATGACTCTTTAAGTGTCTGGACCCATAGGCTATGACCTTCCCATGCTGCATTAGAACACAACCTAGGCCTAGATAGGAGACATCACTGTAAATTGTATATTCCCCTGATCCACTCGGTAAGGCCAGCACAGGTGCAGTAGTCAGCCGCTTCTTTAGTTCTGAAAAACTTCTTTCACGGTCCTCATTCCACTCAAACTTGGCATTCTTCTTTGTGAGTCGGGTTAGGGGAGCAGCTAGACTAAAAAATCCTTCAACGAACCGCGGTAATAGTCCGCCATTCCCAGAAAGCTACGGATTTCTTTAATTGATGTCAATTTCTCCCAGCCGAGCACCGCTTCAACATTTTCAAGATTCACCGATACTCCATCCTTTGATATAATATGTCCCAGGAAGGTGGTCTGCTCAAGTCAGAATCCATACTTACTCAACTTTGCATACAACTTCTTTTTTTTGAGAACCTGCAAAACCTGAGCTAGATGGTGAGCATGTTCTTCTCTGATGTTTGAATAGACCAGAATGTTATCGATGAACATGATAACAAATTGATCTAAGAATTGTCTGAAGATCCTGTTCATCATATCCATGAAGATGGCAGGGGCGTTGGTTAACCAAATGGCATGACTAGGAACTCATAGTATTCGTACCTGGTTCGAAAAGCCATATTGGGAATGTCTTCTGTCCTTATTTTCACCTAATGGTAACCTGATCGCATATCTATTTTAGAGAAGACCTGCGCACCTTGCAACTGATCGAAGAGGTCATCAATCCTGAAAAGGGGATACTTGTTCTTGATTGTGACCTTGTTCAACCCTCTGTAATCAATACATAGTCTCAATGTTCCATCTCCCTTTCTGGCAAAAGTGACTCCGGCACCCCAAGAGGACACACTTGTGTGATAAAACCACTGCCTTGTAATTCAGTGATCTATTTCTTCAGCTCTTCTATCTCAACGCGGCTCATGCGGTAAGGAGCAACCGAGATAGGCTGGGTGCCTGACTGTAGATCTATGGTGAACTTGACTTCCCTGTCCATTGACAGTTCGGGTAGTTCATCCGAAAATACATATGAAAAGTCTCGGACTACCAGAATCTCTTGAATACAATTCTCTTTTTTGGGTTTACCTAATTAGAGAAAATAGCAAGGTTAAGGTACTCGACAAATAAGAAAACTTGCCATAAAGAATAAGTATTAAATGATTTTATTAATTTGTAAATGGCTCCTCATTAAGATGATTGGATACAACCTTCTTGCTAAAACAATCTACGGTGGCGTGATACGCCGCTAGCCAATTCATCCCTAAGATTACATCAAAATCCCCCGTGTCTAATTTTATTAGGTCTACACTCAGTTTCCTATTTGCTATCTCTACGGCGCAAGCCCTATAGACAACTTCTCCCAATAGTGTTACATTCCCAGCAGTAGACACAAATAACATTGAATCAAGTTTATCAGGTAATATATTAAAATTGGATGCAAAAACAGGTAAAACAAATGAATGCAATGCACCAGTGTCAATCAAAACATGAGCGAGATGGTTACAGATAATATACATACCCTGTACCACAACTTAGAACTTGCAGCCATTATCTACACCTTAAAAACCTAATACCACTACCTGTGTGGAGAGACTTTTGAGATTTATACTGACCATAAGAGCTTAAAACACATATTCACTCAAAAAGATTTCAACATGCATCAAAGGCGTTAGATAGAGCTTCTTAAGAATTACGATTGTAAATTTTGTATCACTCAGGTAAGGGTCATGTCGTAGCAGATAGGACTTTATGACTTAAAGAGAATTACATGTTTGGCCCACCTGATTGTCCAACCTGAATTGATCTAGAGAACAAAATAAGCCCAATTAACTGATTCTACAATAATAGCTCACAAGAAGAATGCATAACAATGAGTAAATTTAGAATTTTGAGTCTCTGCCAATGGGTTGTTCAGGTTTCAAGATATGGTGTGTGTTTCAGATGACAGTGAACTAAAAAAGAACATCATGATAGAGGCTCACAACTCAAAGTTTGTCATATATCTTGGAAGTACTAAAATGTATCAAAGTATCCAACCCCAACTTTGGTGGAGTAGGTAGAAGAGTTATGCAGACACCTGAAGGAGGGATTTAGAATTTAAAAAAGATGATCGAGTGTTTCTTAAGGTCACTCATTTTAAGGGGATAAGTAGGTTTGACAAGAGGAAAAAATTAAATCCCCAGTTTATCAGACCATTTAAGATCTTAGACATGATTGGTACGATCACCTAGAGACTGACACTACCTCCAGAGCTATCCAGGGTTCATAATATATTCCACGTATCCAGGCTACGTAAGTATAACCCAAACTCCTCACACATCCTATCCCATGAGCCCCTTTCACTTTAAGAGGATCTATTGTACGAGGAGGTGCTAGTAGGCATTGTAGATCAAAATAGTATAGTACTTCGCAATTGAAAAATTCCTTTTGTCTAAGGTTTTATGGTAGAACCATACGTAGGAAGAGGCCACTTGGGAACTAGAATCAAGCTTCAGGGCCCAGTACCCCCTGACTATTCGACTGAGTGAGAGAATGACCAATTTGAGGAACTAAATTTTCTTAAAGGGGGAGAGTTGTAATACCCGGGTTCAAAAATCAGTCTGAGAAATTTTTTTTATTAGATTGATTATCTAATAGTTATATAAAAATAATCATTTAATTTATTTTATTTTTATCTAATTGGATTTTTTGAAAAAAATGAATTAGGGATGAGATTGAAAATAATTTTGAGAAAAATGGGTAAAAATTTGAGTTCGAAAATGTTTTTGAAAAAAAATTAGAAACAGTGGGTCAAAGTATAAAAAAAATAATATAACCACGTGGGACGGTCCAGTCA